TGCGGCGCGGCGCGACGTGCAGGTGCGGGCGCGGACGCGCGGCGCGGGATTTCCCGGGGTGTGCGGGTTCGGCCCAGGGGCGGCTGCCGGGCCGGACGACGCCCCGAGCTGCGGCAGTCGTGAGGCTGCGGGGCGCTCCATGCGCGGGCGGTACAGGGTGAGCGCGGCCGGCGGCGGGCGTTCTCCCCTCGCCGCGGCGCGGGCGCGGCCCGCGCGCTACCCTCCGCGGCGCCCCATTCGCGCGCGCTGTTGCGCGCTGGCTAGGCCGCGACCGCGCTTCGGCGCGCCGTCCCACCCTGGATCCGACGCGGCCGGCCGGCCGGCGCCTCCCCGGTCGCCGGGCGTCCCCCGGGAGCGCGGTCTGGCTCCCGCCCGCCCCTGCCCGCCGGCGCCCCGCCCCCGCCGCGCGGCCATTGTAGGCAGCCGGCCGGCGCCGTCGGCGGCGGGAGACGCCCCGAGCGGGCCGCTGCGGCCAGTAGCTGCGCGCTCCACCTCCGGCCCCTTCACCGGCCGCCCCGTCAAGACCTAGCCGGGAGGGTGAGAGGGATGCCAGCTTGGGCCCCTCCGGTGCCGCACCCCTAAAGCCGGCTGATCTTCCACCTGCGCCACCTCAACGTCCACGGGAAGCCAAGACCGCAACCAGCTTCAGGACTTCTCCATGCGGTAAAGCGCTGGGGGAGGGGCGCCAAGGGGAAGAAGCAGGCGCCCTGCCTGCGCGGGCCGCGGCCTCGAGAGAGTGGTTCACACCGATTGTCCGCCCCGAGCGAGCCGCTTGGTAGAAAACCCGAGGGAGGTGAAAGATGCATTCACCATTCGGACCTAAACGGGAGCGAGGGGGTGGAACGGGTTATTCTTAAGCCGTCCACGGTTTTGCGGTGATTCGAGCGCGTAGACGAGAGTGACTAGTCCTCGAAAGCCCAGATGGGTGCCTCCACGTAGATTCTGGTCGCTCTTCGCTTCCCTGTGGAATTCTGTCGCCTCTTCGAGGGAGGCCGCTGCGGGAGCACGCGTGAGAGAGCTGCAGGGTCGGGTGGGGAAGTGCACAAAGGGGAAGGAAACGTAGAGACGCAGGCTGCTGGAGTAAAGACCGACACAGATGAGAGGCTCAGAAGGCTGGGAACCAATGGTACTTGTTTCAGTGGCTCACGTTCTTTTGCTTAGAGTTACTTTTTCTGGAAACCAGGCGGTGCCTATTTGGGGGGTAGAAGAGTTAAGGTTTTGCTTTCCACAGAGGTGCCCTGCGGTTCCAAAAAACAGCTTACAACGTTAAAACATTCAGCTGTTAGTATTTGTGCTCGTTTCTGAGGTGATTGTTCAACCTCTTATGAAGCCATATGCTGCTTCCTTATAGCTGAAGAAACTTGAATTCCCAGGCCCAGAGCTTCAGCTTATGCCTCACATTGCAGACTGCTGTCTGTCCTTAGTTTAGGTTATTTTCAGGAGAGGGATGATAAGTCGTCCTTTATTTACTGGGTATGCCTGCGCATTGCAATAATGACAAGCCCTTTATAAAGTATTTGTTAAAAAATGAGGATTGTAGAACGAATTAATATACGATAGCATTCCTGCAGAGACTAAGTTTTCAGTTTTGTCATCTTTTAGTGCTTGTGAAACTGAACACGACAAAAGTATGGATATGGGAAACCAACATCCTTCTATTAGTAGGCTTCAGGAAATCCAAAAGGAAGTAAAAAGCATAGAACAGCAAGTAGTTGGCTTCAGTGGTCTGCCAGATGACAAGAATTACAAGAAACTGGAGAGGTTTCTAACAAAACAACTGTTTGAAATAGACTCTGTAGATACTGAAGGGAAAGGAGACATTCAGCAAGCTAGGAAGAGGGCAGCACAGGAGACAGAGCGTCTTCTCAAAGAGTTGGAACAGAATGCAAACCACCCACACCGGATTGAAATACAGAACATTTTTAAGGAAGCCCAGTCCCTTGTGAGAGAGAAAATCGTGCCATTTCATACTGGAGGCAACTGCGTAACTGATGAATTTGAAGAAGGCATCCAGGATATCATTCTGAGGCTGACACATGTTAAAACTGGAGGGAAGATCTCCTTGCGGAAAGCAAGGTATCACACTTTAACCAAAATCTGTGCAGTGCAAGAGATTATTGAAGACTGCATGAAAAAGCAGCCTTCCCTGCCACTCTCTGAGGATGTGCATCCTTCTGTGGCCAAAATTAACTCTGTGATGTGTGAAGTGAACAAGGCCAGAGGCACTCTGATTGCACTTCTGATGGGAGTGAACAATAATGAGACTTGCAGGCACTTATCCTGTGTGCTGTCAGGGTTGATTGCAGATCTGGATGCTTTAGATGTGTGCGGGCGTACAGAAATCAGAAATTATCGAAGGGAGGTAGTAGAAGATATCAACAAATTATTGAAATATTTGGATTTGGAAGAGGAAGCAGATACTACCAAAGCATTTGACCTGGGACAGAATCATTCCATTTTAAAGATAGAAAAGGTCCTCAAGAGAATGAGAGAAATAAAAAATGAACTTCTCCAAGCACAGAACCCTTCTGAATTGTACCTGAGCTCCAAGACAGAATTGCAGGGTTTGATTGGACAGCTGGACGAGGTAAGTCTAGAAAAAAACCCCTGCATCCGGGAAGCCAGGAGGAGAGCCGTGATCGAGGTGCAAACCCTGATCACTTACATTGACCTGAAGGAGGCGCTTGAGAAAAGAAAGTTTTTTGCTTGTGAGGAGCACCCATCCCATACAGCAGTCTGGAACGTCCTTGAAAACTTGTCAGAGATCCAGGAAGAAGTTCTTTCATTTGATGGCAATCGAGCCGATAAGAACTACATCCGGCTGGAGGAGCTGCTCACCAAGCAGCTGCTGGCGCTGGATGCTGTGGATCCGCAGGGAGAAGAGAAGTGTAAGGCTGCCAGGAAACAGGCGGTGAAGCTTGCCCAGAATATTCTCAGCTATCTCGACTTGAAATCCGATGAATGGGAGTACTAAAATACCAGAGATCTCGCGTTTGATATTGCTTGTTTTGCACTTTATATACACTTCTATGTATTTATAGAGACCTTTCAGTTCATTGAGCCTAAATGTGATTTATACGTGCATATTTCAATCTCAGTATTTATGATTTAAGCAAAATTATATTCAGTATCTCTGCTGCTTTTGACGTTTCAAAACAAATATCATTACAGCACATTAACTTTTCCATTTGGATCATTATCTGTATGATGTGGTGTGGTTTGTCCTTTTTATTTTATTTTATTTTATTTTTTTGCGTTTTTAGTCAGAAAATGAAATAGAGGCAGCTTTTGTAATTAAATGGGTTGTGCAAGCATTAAAATGCAGATATTTCAGAATCTAGAAATAGACATAACCTTACATAATACTAGAAAAATTATGAGAAAGGGGAAAATTTTGGTGAAATAGGAGTAAGGTCCAAACACAGAAGTAGTAAAATGATATGTTTTATTGTACTAAATAAAGCAGAAGAGGTTGTTTTTTTTTTTGCTTATAAGCCTTATTGGTCCCACCCAATTTAATGGGGTGGGGTTTTTTTTTGTTTATTTGGACCATATGTTCTTTTATAAACATTTTTGTTTGAAAAACAGTGTATTTCTCCCATACTCTGCATTTTAAAGGGGGGAATCTTGTTTTTGTGTGCAACATAAGAAAATTATGAAAACAAATAGCCAAAAATCCCTTGAGACTACATTGAAGAGAAGGGATAAGGTACCAGCTATTAAATACCTTCGAATTGTTGTTTTTGTTCATAAAATCTGAATTTAATGATTTTCCTAAGTGAGTAAATAGTAAGGATGGGAACATTTAAATGAAGCTAATAGACCATTTAAAAGGAAAACAAAGGAAACACCCATACCTGTAGTTGGAGAATGAAAACTGGAGATGAGTTACCAACGTCAGGTTACACTAAAGCCAAGCAAGAACATCTGAATGTAGTATGTAGGGGTTTTTCGCCTGTCATTCAAAGCTGGATATTGGACATACTTGTTAAACATACCCAACGGCTATTTTACAATGTGTGAGAGCAGAAACCGTCAGTAACTCTGAAGGACCAGGTCTTTATAGCTTTTCAGAGGAAGTTAGCTGTTAAATACTCACATCTTAAATATCACCTGCTGGAAATTAAATGCTTGCTCTGGGTACTTGCTGAAGTCCTTAGCTCGTGTTACTGGCACGTAGATGCTTCTCTGTTGCCTGAAAGAGCCATTAAAGTCTATTGTGCATGACGTTTTTGTTATTCTGGTAAAGGGTATATGTATTTCTGTAAATACTTTGAGGATCCAATTTTACAGCTGCCTGCTAATGTGAGCAGAAGAATTTCCCAAAGTTCTGAAGTGCCTTAGTAACATGTCAGTCCCAGTGTTATAACTAACAGACTATTTACCTCTAGTCACCTTTTACAAAATAATCCTGTTGGAGCACATCTTTTGAACTAATGTTATTCTCTTTCAGAGATATTTTGTAACTTTCTGTAGGGAAATTGTCACTTTAAACAGCTAAAAGTATGGTAGATAAAGGAATAGATGATAAAAGCATAGCCCTAAACAAATCTCTACTTTGTCTCTGGGCGTTGCCCGATCATTAAAAGCCCTTGATATGTCTTTCCTGCTTAGAAATGTTCTAGAAACATTGGATAGTGGGGTCAAAGGGCAGGTGGGGTCAAAGGACCGCCGCAAGCTGTCAGTGCAGGTCATTGGAATTCTCATTTGGCCAAAGTAGTTTTAGGATTGCTCTTCTGTATCACAATTTTAGAGTGCTCTTAAAATCCTGAAGAGTTTTTAAATTAGAGTCCTGCATAATCATACCACTGGGAAATCAAGGTTACACTATAATCACTTCAGACATATCCTTCACCAGGTTCTACTAAATTTTTAATTTCATTTTTGAAAGCTAATGTCAGCATTCCCTTTAAAAGTGTCCATTCTTCCTTGAAAGTAGATTTCCCCTGTCATTCTTTTCAAACAGAAAAGTATTTTGTGTGACTTTTGTAGAGACATCTCGTACTGCTAAACTTTGAGCATCTCATGTGAGTGCAGAATACTGAACTCTTCCACAGTCGTTGGAGATTTTTCACAGGGGTTATTTTGGTCGTTGAAATGATCAAATTGACCTTGAGTGACTGTTAGGCATGGCTTTTTTTCCTAGTTTCATAGCTTTTTTCCTAGTTCCTTGTGCTAGATTATTCTGTTCCCCTAATGAACCCTGGTGACACCGGATCTAGCTTTTCTCATCCCCCGTTGGGAGCTGTTTGTGTTAGTATGGGCTGCTGCATGTACATTTTAAACTGGGCTTATCACATTGTATTGTATTTTCGTGAGAATCTGTACTGCAAGTAAAACCTACTCCCCAAAAATGTGTGGCCTTGGGTCTGCATTAAATGGTACAATCCATGTTCATGCAAAAAATGGCTGGGAATGTTTGCTTTTTGCCTGACATTCAGTCAGTATCGCTTTCAGATCATCCTTATCCAACCAGATTAGCGCCAATCAGCCTATGATGAAGTGGTTATTAAAATAAATGTAATGACCATGTCTACGAAGTACAATTTAATGCTTTATTTTGCTAAAATGCCTGTATATTTGATATAATTTAGTATGTTTGAGAAGTTTAACCAGTTTTTCTCATTTGTTTTGCTTTGCCAATTTTTATCTGGTTTTTGAGGGTCTAAGCTTATTCTGTATATGCTGGGTTTTTTGAGCAAAGCTTTTCAGCTTTTAACTGGTCAGGTATTTTTCTTTTAAGAATAATTGGAGAAATATTTGCCATTGATTTTGATGTATAATACAGGTGTGTTTGTTCAGTGTGTTGGTTCCTGTCTTCTATTAACTGTATAACTATTGTAATAGTATGTCTTAAATAATTCAGTGTTACTTTGAGATATACATATTAGTATACCCTTAATTATTCATGAAATAAAACAAATCTCTTAGCTTATCTTTGCCATGGAGAAAGGGTGTGAGTCTGAGGTGTGTGTTCTGCTCTGATGTTGGCCCTGTACTCCTTGTGTGTTCTCACCTTTGCGGACTGACCGACCTGGGCAGGGCCCTTTGTTACAAAGCCCAGAGGGGCCAGGCCTGGGGCAGGTGGGCTCCTTGGCCACAGTTGGTGCGGTGTGAGGAGGTGATGGTGGTACACACTGGCCAGAACTCGGGCACAGGTGACCGGGTCGCTGTGCTCCCTTCGAGAGGGTGTCTGGGTTGGGGGTCATGACCTCACGCTCTGCTGCCCCAACAGGACGCCCATGACTCATACGAACAGGACTTGACTTTATTTGTAGAAAGGAGAAGGAACTCTGGGTTGTGGCTCTGGCCACATCCTCTCCCCAGAAAAGAGTTTTCACTAAAGTGTTCTACTAAAACTCATCTTCTCACTCCCTTGCTCTGAGTAGAGTGCCATGGTGTCAGCCTGGCTCACAGGAACCTCAGACTCCTGGATGGCTGAAGCGATCCTCCTGCCTCAGCCTCCTGAGTAGCTGGAACTACAGGCGTTCACCATTACGCCCAGCTAATTTTTTTTTATAATTTTTAGTCACCCACCTAATTTTTCTATTTTTAGTAGAGATGGGGTCTCGCTCTTGTTCAGGCTAGTCTCGAAGTCCTGAGCTCAAGCGATCCTCCCGCCTCGGCCTCCCAGAGTGCTAGGATTACAGGCTTGAGCCACGCCAGCCAGCCAGCCAGCCCTGCCACTTTCACAGCTGGGGGGATTACTTAGTCTCTGAGCTTCAATTTCTTCTGTAAAGTGGGCGGTACTTTGCACTTAAGTTTGAAGGATTCAGCTGGTTAATACATAAAGCATTTAGCTGCAGTATTATATCCCAAAGTCATTGCATCCACATACCATGTGTGCCTTTTGTGGAAAAACTCATAAACTAACGGTCTATGGAGATGTCTTCCAATTGTGAATTTTAATTACAAAAGTTTATCGTTCTACATTAACATCAAAAGTGAAGTGAAGATGTTTCCCCGGCTTGGGAGTCACAGGTCTTTCCAGAGCCGCGTGGATCTGTGACCCCAGTTTGAGAAGCACTCTGCCTTGTGCTGCCTCAACATCTCAGCTTCATTCTGTGGTTCCAGTTTTCTGTGTATATAATAATCCTTTGAATTCTTGAGCCGTTTCCCTGTAGCCGCCTGTTTTCCAGATGAATGTAGCTACTCCTCCTTGGTCTTCCTCCCACACTGCTCACGAGCCCCACTTCAGTCCTTGGCAGGCTGGGGACATGGAGCCAGGTGAGGGGAAGTCACCTGATGGCTTTCCTGTCTGCAGCCTGGCATCTGTTGCTTTCGTCCCCACACCCCCACCTGCCCCTCCAGACCACAGAGCGCGGCTCTGTACCTGCACCCTGGCTATTCACAGCCCCCGGACACACTGGCTTGTCTCATGCCAGGCTCCAGTGCCTTTCAAGGCGAGAACTGTCTTCCGTGTGGCCTCGGGTCCTAGCAGTAATGAGCACCCAGATATCTTTTGGATGAACTATTTTTTAGAAATAATGTCCTCAGCTCCCAGCACATAATAGGCATTCAACAAATACCTGCTGAACAAATAAATTGCAAGTCTCAGAACTTTAGATAGCTTCATAGAGTGTTTAAAATCAGTCACCTCTTTGATCATCAGGATCCAAAGAACCTTTTCTCTGCTGTACCTTCTGCCAGGACTCTGGCGTCACACTGTCAGGCTCTTTCGCCTTAGGCCCATGTCACCCGCTCAGGAGCTCAGGTAGAATCAGAGGTGGCCACACTCTTGGAGACCCTGGGACACCACGTGCAGGGGCCACACCCCTGCCGGGTGGCCAGAGCCATCCATACTCCAGCCTCTGGGCTGACGGTGTCGGTTTCGATCCCTGAAGCCCACTTGCAGCGGGGTCGGGAAGCGCTCTGCTTGTGCCCTGTGACAGTGAGGCAACAGAGCTCTGTATGGTGGAGAGCCTGTGTCCTCGTGTCCTTGGTGCTGCTGAAAGGGGCCGGGCATCTTTACGTCAGGAAATCCTTCAGACGACCGGGTGGGGAGGTTCCTGAAGGAAACCCAGTAACTGGCGGGGCGAAGAGCACGGGGGGAGCAGTGGATTCTGGGACGGACTGTGTCCCTGCAGACACGAGTGCCTGCTAGGTGCGGGGTGCAGAGAAGGTACAGACGGGCGCTCCCGGCCAGTGGCAGGGACGGACACGACAATGCCAGCCCGGGCCGGCACCCTCAGCGAGGGTCACGGCACAGCGTCGCCCCCCATGCGGGGCCACGGGGCGTCCCGAGGAATGACCAGGCACTGGCTGACTCTGACTGGGTGGTGGAGCAGCCCGGGGAGGCTTCCCGAAAGAGGCGGAGAGGGCAGCTGTTCACCCACAAGGCGTGGGAAGCTGTGCTAAGCGCAAAAGCCTGTTCCCGTGACAGGGGTGGCCCGGAGCACCGCCTTCGGTGTGTTCAACACCAGCGCCGTGGTTCCCTGGCCCAGGTTGTCCCAGTGGGCAAGCTGGGCGCCCCTTCCCAAATAGCGTCTGCTGCCCGAGAGGCAACAGCAGGGAGAAACGGGACGGACAGCCACGGAGGGCCCAGCCCAGTGTGGGCAGCAGGCAGCAGACCCAAGCTGTCACATTGGCACCCAGGCCATAGAGCTGCCATGGGAGCTTGAGGGGCCAGGCAGGGAGGCCAGGCTGGGGAGGAAGGCAAGTACACTCGCTGGGGTGGGCTGGGGGAGGGGAGACGACCTGAGAGCCGTGGGGTGGGGACAGAGCAGCTTTGGGACAGCCCTCGCCAGGGCAGTGCACTCCCCGCGCCCTGTGAGACCACCTCGTACCTGGCCGTACCCACCTCTGATGCACCTGCCTGTCCCCAGCAGACAGCGACATGCCCCCTCCGGCCTGCTCCGCACATGTGCCCGTTCACATCGCCCAGCACTGCCCATGGGACGGTTCCAGGCCACACCCTCACCCGCCGCCCTCCCAGACAGAAACGAGACCTGTGAGGCCACCCACGGCCAGAGCCCTGAAGGACCAGCCCCCCACTGGGCCCGCAGGCCGGGCTGGCGGGGGAGGCTGCAGGTGGCTGAGGCTTCAGACACGGAGCCTCCTCTGGGAGGGCAAGCCAAGGGACTCGTGCGGAACCGTCCTGGGTGTGGGGGCAGCAGAGAGCTGGCTTGTGGCTTGGAAACTGGGCTCCTGAGAACACAGTTCCAGAGCTGAAAGCCTACAGCGAGCAAGCGGGGTAGCCACCAGGTGGCCACCAAGTGCAGAGCGAGCCTGGAGTCTCCCCTTATAAAGAAGACTGAGACTAAACAGGTAAATGTATCTTACCACTCGAATGTTGTGTGGGCTGTCAACAAAATGCATCCTTTCTCCCTTTCACACTACATATAGTTTGATCTATTAATTATATTGAGAGAATAAGACACAAGCAAATCAGTTTCATTTCTGAGATGTGACGGTGAGATCCTTATTGAGCAAAATTAATGGATTTTGCTGAAAACCACATCTTGTAGTCATATAAACAACTACAGGGGCCTCGCTCTCAGCCTGTTTACCGCTCACTGAACTCTTGAGCGATCACCTGCCATCAGCCTCTCGAGTGCTGGTTCAGGTTGAGCCACCTGCGCCGCACGACAGCTAAATCATAACAACTAACATCATCCTGGCATATCAGCCAGCACCACTTGGGACTGATTCACGTGTTAAACCAATATAACAGTTTACCTGTGTGTTATATCACTTTGTGTGGTGCAGCAACACATTCTTATTTCTGTGTCCCTGAATCTGGGTCTTCTTTTGGATAACCGATAACAACCAGCTTCCTGCAACATTTAAACGGCACGGCTTCAGAATGCCAAAAAAAACGAGAGGAACTGTGTCGACGCTTGCAATGACTCAACTGCTATGCAAATACCTTACTGCCAGCTAGTAACTCTAAACTCTAAGCCAAGGAAGATGAGAGCCTAAAAATGCCTTTCAATGATCAGGCGAAGATGACTTCAGCAGTCTACCAGTCACAGAAGAAGTTAGACTTAATAACACCCAGACAGAAAGAGGATACATGCTACGCTCATTTTTGAGGCTGAAATCACTTTTGACACTGCAAATTGGACAGCACAAGGAATAAAGCATCTCAACTATAAATTCCACACGACAGAAAATGAACAACCAATCCATAACAAAGATATTCCGACGAGATTAGATTGGAGATATTCACCAAATCCAACTATGAAACAAACCAGTTAAGCGCATCTCCCCTGCAGACACCATCATAAATAAATCCAGTGTGGTCAAGGCTAGATGCAGCTGTCAATGATCAGAGAACAGAGTTCAGAGAAGGTTAATTAAACAATGAGAGTAATGCAACAACCCAGACTGCAGAAGTTCTTAACGGACACATGAACCTCTCCAAAAAAAGGATACTGGGAGGCAGAACCTAATGAATTAAAAAACAGCAAAAGAGCCAGAGCGTGCCTCATGCTGTAATCCCAGCACTGTGGAAGATGAGCGGGAAGATCACTTTAGGCAGAGATTGAAAAGCAGCCTGCCAAAATAAGCAAGACTCCATTCAACAAAAGAAGAAAATAGCCGGCATAGTGGTACACACCTGAGTTCCATCCATAACAAAGAGGATTCTTGAGCCCAGGATTTGAGGATCAATGGCTGTGATACATGGTCCACACTCTAGCCGGATAACGAGGAACTTGATTCAAAGATAAAGACCAAAAAATACACATAAAGCCGTCGAATGATAGAGAATAGGTGGTGCCTATAGTCCCCAACTACATTGGGAGCTGAAGCTCGAGAGATTACTATGAGCCCAGAAGTTTCCTCACGTCCTGGCAAC